AGTTGTAGCTGTGCTTTGTGTAGGTTTATGTTTCTTTTTGTGGTGAAAATGAAGCTGATTCAGTTGATGCTTTGCCTCAGGACCCATAGGTTGTGAGGTGGCAACCCTACTATGTCCAAGATAGGCAAAGGGTATGGGCCAAGGTTTTCCAACTGTGTCTCTTCTTCTCAGTGTTCCTTTTTTCTCCATGAAAGCATTCCTAGAAAGCAGAATGGAGACAGAAGGTCCAAGAGGCACAGGCAGGGAAAAGGAAGCAAGGGAGAAGTTGTTTGTAGAGCTACATTCTTGCTTCAAACTCTTGTACATCACCCTAAAATAAAGGGAGGCCTCTCTCATTCCTCAACTGCCTTGGCTCTGGAGAAATCCTTGAGATAGCATTCAGGAAAAGGTAAAGAGCTGGGCCTGGATGCATCAGCTTCCTGTTCTTTTCGTATTCTCAGTTTCAGCATGGAAAGGAAATGCTGATGTCCTTTTACTGATACTTTTTCAACAGATCAAAGCAAAATGCTTTCTAGCTTATCAAACTCATTTCCTCTACTGTCAAGATAAAGAAGAGGAGCTCTTTCCATTGTATTCAGAAGTGGTCACATAAGACTTGGCATAGACCTTTGATTGCACAGTATTCATTGGCCTTTTATTTCTATGATTTCATTTAGTTCTAAACTCCATGAAGCATTTTCTATGAGACTCAAGAAAATTAAGTACTTAGACAAGGTCCTGTAAATGTTAAATGAAAGAGACAGAATTAAATTTAGGCCACTTGTCTTTTGAAATTGTATTTGCTGCTAACTCCTAACTCCCAGGAAAGCACTTTGGTGAACTCTTAGTAAGTTTTCTGTAGTTGTTCTCATGCTCATGAATGCTTTGGACAAAGATCCTAGTGGAAGAAGCCAGTTCTTTCCCTAGGATTCTTTACTGTACTTGTGGTGACAGAGGCAATATACCAGCATGATATTCTATACAGTTATCACAGATGGTGGCAACACTCCAGGGTTTTGGAAAATATTTTTCCAAATGTTTGAAAAACATTCTAGTATATGTATTTTGCTTTGCTTCTAGTACTGGGTATTGAACCCAGGGTCTTTGCACTGAACTACATCCTCAGCCTGTTTTATACTTTTATTTTGAGTTCCCACTAAGTCACTAAATTGTCCAGATTAGGCTTGAACCTGCAATGCTCTTGCTTCAGCCTCCCAAAGTGCTGAGATTACAGGTGTGTACTACTATGCCCAACTTTAAATATGCATTTTTAAATTTTTGAATAATAAATGTACTCCAAGCAGAATCTGTATCTGTTTGTGATCCTTCCTAAGGCTATTGCAGATGCTGCAGGGATCCCAACTGTCCCCAATATCCAGAAGTCTCTTTCTTGGACTCTAAATAGGGATTCAGCGTAAGTTATACTTTCATGTGAATAACCATGAAAATTTGGTGCCACATGATTTGAATTGCTATGAGAGTATTGAGATATTATTCTCTTTCAAGCTGATTCTTTTTCAGTACTGTTCATCTTTGCTGTAGAGGAAAATGAAATTCAAGGTCATCTAAAATAACCAAATTCAGTCTCTTGGAAATAAGGAGATTGGCTCCAGTAGAACATACACTACTATTGATGAAGATTACAATTCTTCTTAGACCAGAACAGATGGAAGACTTTCAGTGATGAAATAGCCCAAAATTATGTTTTAAGTATGACAAGTTGGGATAGAATACCATGTCATTTACTAGGTGGGCAGCCCTTCACATATCATTTAGCCATTCTTAGCTAAATAAATAAATAAAACTTTTCCAGTTTTATTTCCTGGAAAATGAGTTAAGGTTTAGAAATAACATATATAATAAATCTAGCAATATATAACAACTACTAAATGCTGAATAAATGTTAGTGATCATCTGTTAATTACAAGGAAATATGGAAAAATATGCAAATGCTCCAGAGAATTTGAGGAGTACTAATTGTAAGGCATGCTGCAAAGGCTCAGTGTTGTAGTAAGGTAGATAAACCAATCACTAAGCCAACCACTTGGTGGCTATGACCAAATTTAGTCTGACCCCTAGGGAAAGATAGCATCTAACCCTTGATTGCCACCTACTGGCCTACAGTAGATTTAAAGAAATCATTACGAAGTTCCAATTTCTGACTAAGGGAAAATAGTGGTAGAAGTTTAGCTTACCTCAAATGATTAGGGCACACACTTTTCCAAGTAAACCTCTATATCAGAACCCTTATGTGTAAAAACAACAGCAACATTTTTGATAATGCTGGCAAATGGAGATGGTTTTGTTAGGCATAATAGTATATAATCTATGACTGAAATATGAATCAGGGGCATATGGAGAATTTATTCATTACTATTTTTCTTGCGTATATTAATATTTTAGAGTTTTATTATTTATGATTATTATTTTTTGTAACATTAAACAAGCTGATTCAAATTACATACTTGTAGTTAGCTTCAATTATTATGGTTATTAGACCAAAGATCTTTAAAATGCAATCTGTAGATTAATTGGTTGATTACATTCAAACTTGCAGAATCAGATTATTTTGGGGGTAAATCTCAGAAAATACTATTTTTAAACCTTTGTTTGTAATTCTCACCCAGCTAATTTAGGAGACTACCACACTAGATTATACACTCCTTGAGGCAAGGACAATTTCTTTTTCTTTTTTGTACTCCCGAGGCTTAATGATGTCCACCACGAGACAGTTAGATAAAGGAATGAACAAATATTAGATGAATGAATAAACAAAGGCATACATGGACAAAGGAATGGAATTGTGTTTGCCAGCAGGAGTGAGCAACCCCGCAGTTATAGCAGGCTTGAAAACGCGGACCCTTTAGTTTCTGTGTATGAAATGATTAGTATATTTACTGTTGCAATTTCAGAAAAGTTTACTCTGGGATCAAGGTAGGCGCACGTTGGTCCTGGCAAGTTTTAGAGGGTATAAGTAAAAGGAAGTGGATAAAAAGAGGAAGTTGCAACTTCTAAAAGTCCATAGAAATATCCTAAGAATGACTTGACTGATTATATTGACAAGATGTAAAGAAACACGCTTTATTTATTGGATTAATTTTTTCTATTAAAATATCAAATATGAAATGGAATTAACTTCTAAAAAGTTATTGGCCATTGTTGGATAACAAGAGGTCTTAAATGGGGTTAAAGACCTCAAATAAATAGTATTTAACTTCACCGACAATGAAGAGATGCAGGTATAATGTAGAGGAAAATATAAACAAAGAACTGGAATTGAAGGGATCCTTTGTATACCAGGTAAAATTGACCCATAAACAGTAAATTCTAAAACATAATTTATTAAAATTATTTGTTCTTTAAAAAAGAAAGAAAAAACAAAAAAGAAAAAAATATTTTGATTTTCTCATCATAAAAAAGTCATTACAGGTTGGGCCGGGGATTTAGCCCAGTGATTCCACCACCTGACTCACAACTGCAAGGATCCGAGTTCAATCCCTGCTACAAAAAAAAAAAAAAAAAAAAAAAAAAAAAAATCACAAAAAGCCATTACAGGGCTGGGGATTTAGCTCAGTGGTTCCAGCGCCTGCCTCTCAAGTGCAAGGGCCCGAGTTCAATCCCTGGTACCAAACAAAAACAAGAACAAAAAACTCATTACAAAAGAGAAAATCAGATTGGCATCATATAGACATCTTGGCACTAGCACACTATTCAAGATAACCATGGAATGGCCTTTAAAGAGTTCCCATTTCCTACTCCATCTAGTCCCTAGCAACCAGTATCAACAACTTTGATATTTCATAGCAGTGAAATCATACAATATGTGTCCTTTTGTGAATCACTTATTTCACTTTGCAAAATGTTCTTGTAGTTTACCCATACTGTGATATGTCAGAATTTCCTTATTTTTTGAGGGTGAATAAATTTCATTTAATGTATATACCATGTTTTGTGTATCTCTTCATCAGTGGACATTTGTGTTGCAGCCAATTTTGAACAGTGCTGCTATGAACATATGTGTTCAAGTATCTCTTCCAGGTTCTGCTTTCAATTCTTTCAGGTATATTTCCAAAACTGTAATAGTTGGGTCACATGATTGTTCTACTTCTAATTTTTTGAGGTCTTATATATACTTTTATAGAATCTCCCCTTATTTGCTTTACTGTCTCCCACATCTGGTGCACCTGATGGCGAACATTCTCCAGTCCTCCTCTTGCCTCGCCTTCCCTTTCCCTCTAAGTCATCTATTGTCTGGGGGAAGTGCATAGCGTGGAAGGCAGTTGTCTGGATTTATGGGGTGGAAAGGGAATTTAAAGGCCCAAACACTGCCCTTAAACCCAATTCTCACTGCCAAGACTGTCCCCTTTCCTGGACTCCACTGTGTATTTCTGGAGGCTCTAAGAAATTATGCCACAAAAACCAAGTCATTGAAAGTTAATTCACTTAGGTGGTCAATTTGCCTTTTCTATTAATTCTTTACTTTTAGTTACCATTTATAGCTAGCTTTATTATAATAACACTTTAAGACAAATTCAATTAGAAACTGTTTCAGTTCCCTTGCTGCGGCAGATACTAGGAGGAGCCTGAGGAAAGAGAAAACACAGAGGGACCCAAGAAGTCTACAGAATATCCATTTTTATTCCTACGGAGGTACATTGCAATTTTAAGAAATAAATTATCAACTAGCTGCTTTGTTCTGGACAGGGCTCCAGATCCCTAGGCTGAATAGGCAAAAGGAGGACCACGATTAGCATACACAGAGTTTAAGTAGGTTAGCGTATGCTCACGAACGCTTAGCAAAGTTGGTCACTAACGTAACACCAACTATTGCGCATGCGTTGTTTTTAAAGGGCCGGCGTGCTCCCGCGGCTTCCCAGAAAGCCCTTTTTCTCAGATTATCCCGCCCCAGTTTCCGGGGAGGTTGCTCCTCCCTGCGGAAGCGGAATCACCAATCAACACCCGTTTTTGCCGTACCGTCATTGGCGCGTGCCCAGCTGTAAAAATTAGGGGGCGGGCTCTCAAATTTGCGCATGCGCTCCTGTACATCTTCTCCACGTTGGTTCAGTCTCTCAATTCAGTTTGGCTTTAGGAATCTATAGTCTGTGGGTGATTTGGCTGTCACCTAAGTCACGATGGGTAAGACTGCTGATTCTCTGGGTCCGGGATCGCGGCCTGACCCGGTGCGGAGCTTCAATCGCTGGAAAAAAAAACACAGCTATAGGCAGAACCAAAAGAAGCAGTTGAGGAAACAGCTGAAGAAGCCCGAGTGGCAGGTCGAGCGCGAGGGTATCAGCCACCTTGTGCAGAACTACGAGAAGGTGAGGCCTGTGCTGGGAAGGGGCACGCCCCCCCCAACACCCACACATCTGGCGCGAGCAGGTGGCCGGGCAGCTGGGCAGCGAGTCACTGTGGTGATGGGCTGCGGGGGACCCGACCCAGGGATCGTACAGTTACTCCACTGGGCTGGGTGGCGTGGAAGTGTCACCAGAGTTCCTGCTGACTCCTCACAGGTGGTCTACTGGCTGCTCCCAACCAGGATTCCGCTGTCTGCTGCTCACTGCACTGTTCTGGAAACAGTGGTAGAAATGCAGTGGTACTGAAGGGTACGGAGACTCTGCTGTAATTCAGTAATATTCATAGTAATAATAGAAATGACAGTAAAGGAAATAACTGTCTCAAAGTATTTTCCATCATGGGCTCTTTGACTCGATATGAGGTATGGATCTTTTTGTTTTCAGCTTTAATTGAGTTTATTGGTAGATTTTAGGAATACAGTACAGTTACATTCATTGTTGGGATCTTGTACCTCTACATGACAAGTCTTGGTTCTCATTTTTTCCCCTTGTCCCTGCCCTCCCTTTACTTCCTCCTCCCCTCCCCATCTACAATCACTTTATTTCCATCTTTTCATTATGAGGTATGGATCTTTATATTTCCATTTTACAGTTGAAAAAAATTGAGGCTAGCAGAGGATACAAAACTTGTTCCAATCTCTCACACCTAGTAGATGGTGTGGAATAGGATCCTAGACCTGTGTCTTTCTAGTTCCACAGCCTTTGCTTGTTTAACCATTAAGCCAGACTGCCTCTCTTAACATCATCTTCTGTTCTGTGTCCATCTCGTTTTCTTCATTTACTCTATGTTCCCATCCAAGAATTGGTGTAGAAAAGCTGGGCTGCTGGTTTGTTTTGTTACCTGTCATCCCTACAAGATGTTCCTAGATGTATATCCCTTACTTATCACTTTAATTTGCAGACCCATTTCCCTGTCAGGCTTGTTAGAAATGTCAGTTTCTCTCCCCTTTCCCCATCAATGTCATATTTGTTGGCCTTAACCTACCTCACTCAGCCTCTCAGTGACTGCCCCCTTTATAGAATAGTACAATGAGGGCTTTAACAAGTGGCATATTCCTGTAATTAAAGTCATCACCTGCCATCCCGGTATGGCCTTCTTTCAAATGACCCTGAAATCACTAGTAAGATTGAACAGCTTAAAGCATTGTGGGTGAACCTATGGCACGTGTGCCTCAGTGGACTGTTCATATCATTGAAAGCTCTAAAGGATTCACCATCTTTGGCTTTTGCTTACTGTGTTAGCTTCCTTTATCCTGTCCTCAAAGGGGATAATGGTAATATCTACTGTATAAGATGTTGTGGAAAGTTACTAAGATAATGCATGGAAAGCATTCTGTACAATACCTGTTACATAGAAATATTTCATACATTAGCTGTTACATTATTACAACTGTTGTATACACAACACTTTAACAAGCCATTATGAATTACTTTTGGGTTTTGTTTTGAACTGTGTAGAATTGTTTAGAGAGTAGAGCCTTAGCCCTTGATTTATTCCTGTGAACTAATGATTCCTTGTTGTATTCTACTTAGAGGTCTTCTGAGTTCATATCCTTATTTCTGAATGTACTGAATATCTTAATTGTATTGTAGAATACCTTCAATGCCAGAAGTCATTATCTTTTCCATTATACCTCAGCAGTCTCTCCTAAATTCTTTGCCTTTTCTCATTCTTTTTTGGTACTGCAGATTGAATTTGGGACCTTGTGCTTGCGAGGCAGGAGGCGGCACCACTGAGCTAACCCTGGCTCAGTCCCTCCTAAATTCATAATCCTGTGTATTAGTTTCCTATTGCCATTGTAACAAACTTGGTGGCCTAAAACAGTAAAATTTATCCTTTCATAGTTCTCGAAGGTAGAAGTCTGAAATCAGTTTCATTGGGCCAAAATGAGTGTTAGCAGGGCCATGCTGCCTCTAAAGGCTATAGGGAATATTCTGTTCTTGCCTCTTCTAGCTTCTTGTGACTGTTGGTGCTCCTTGTCTTGTAGCCATGTAACTCCAATCTCTACCTCTGTAGATGTGCTGCCTTCTGTTCAGAGTCAAATCTCCCTCTGCTTTAAAGAAAAATAACACATTTTGTTACATTTATAACCCATCTAGATTATCCAGAGTATCTCCATCTTAAGTCAGTTTTGCCATTTACAGGTTTTAGGAACTGGGGCATAGACATAATTGGGAACCATTTTTAATCTACCACATTCTTAGTCCACCATCTAACCAAACTACTGATCTAGAAACTGCAGAGCAAAATCTGGCACCTTTCTCTTATCTGCTTTTGTATCCTGTTATATTGGTGATCTTTTTTGCTGCTTAAATTTCTCAATACTTCTCTACTCCCTTTGCTATAAGCTATTTCAGACCTTATCTTTTACGTAGATTACTACATTAGCTGTTGCTTATAACAAGAGTCAGCAGACTTTCTGTGTAAACAATAGTATATGTTTTTAGCTCTATAGATCAAAAGAGTGAAAGTACCCAATTCTGCCCCTGTAACACAGAAGCCATAGAAATACTTAAGTGAATGGTTTCTGTGTTATTGTAAAATTTTAATTAATGAAACAGAGGTTTGATGGGCTTTGACTCTTGGGTCTTACACACCTTGATTGTATTTTCTGTCCTGCTGCTAAAAGTGTTTTTTTTGGTGTATGTGCTTCTGAAGTGAGTACTAGAAGTGTTTTCTTAGTCATTTTCCTTGGCTTACAATTACTTTCAGGACTGGCAAACACCTTAATGTGCCAACATACTGTAGTATGATGGAAGAATATATTATTTGTAGTTAGGCAGACCTGGTTTAAATCTCACTCAGTTTAGTTTCTCACCATCTCTGAGTCTTGGTTTCCTCCAAAGCAAAACAATTACTAATGACTGAGAGGGTTGTAAGACTGAAATGAGATGATGTGTGTAAGCCAAGTGGTACATAATGACTTGTAGTTTGTAACTTGGCCATATTCCTGTGTGCTTAATTTCCTGGTACTTGATGTTTCTACTACTTGATGTTAGCATATGCTCTGGAATACATACTTGGCTTGAGATATACCTGGAGCTTTTCATGACCTCCTCAGGTGTGCATCTGTAGCATTTTGTATATACCTTTATTGCAGCATTTATTACCTCCCTGTGATCATTGACTTTATTTCTTTGTAAATTCTTCTACTATACCATGAACCTCTTAAGGTTAGAGACCAGTCATGTGCTCCTTGATCTACGATGATGGGGTTATGCCTCGATAAACCCATTGTAAATTGAAAACATTGTTAAGTTGAAAAATACATTTAGTAAAGTTAACCTATTGAATATTATGGCTTAATACAATATACTATAGGGTGTCCATTGTTTACCCTCATGATCTCAAGGCTGACCAGGAGTTGTGGCTTATCATCACTTCTCAGCATTGTACTGGGGGGAAGATTAAAAAAAATAAAAATTGGAAGGAGTTGTATGTAGTGACACAGGCCTGTAATCTCAGTACTTGAGAGGCTGAGGTGGGAGGTTTGCATTGAGTTTGAGAACAGCCTGGCTACATAATGAATTGAATACCAACCCGAAGTAAACAGTGAGAACCTGTCTCAAAATCCCCCCATCCCAAATCAAAATTTGAAGTATGATTGCTCACTTTCACAAACTCAGAAGAGTCAGTTGTACCAATGGTAAGCCAGTGACCATTTCTATTTATTTTTGTTTCCTTTAGATGTGGGTGCTTATTCTTGAGTAGATGCTCAGTATTTAGATATTGTTTGGTATAAGAATAGACTTTTCCTAGATAGGTATATGTGCCTACCTCCAGTCTCTACCTCTGTGGACATGCTGCCTTCTGTTCAGAGTCAAATCTCCTTCTGCTTTAAAAAAAACCAACACATTTTGTTACATTTGTGACCAATCTAGATTATCCAGGGTTGGCTGTGGTTGCAGCATTGCTCTAGTTGGCAGCATTGGCTCATTCTTTTTGGTGACTTGTTTTAATATTGATTGCTAATATTTATCAGGTGTTTATGTATGTTGATGTGCCATGTCCTCATAACAACCACCCTAAGAAATTGTTCCCATTACACAGGTAAGGAAACCTTAAGGCACCACACGGTTAAATAACTAGTAAATGAGAAAGGGATTCTAACTCAAATAGTCTAGGTGTGATACCAAAGCTCCAGACCGCTACACTTTACTGCATTGTACTTGCAAATGCTTAAATTTTGATCTTTTTACTAAGTTGAAGGAATAGCCTCCCCCAGGAGTGTTCTGTGTTTTATTTATTAGTTTTAGGAAAATAAATGTTTTAAGGATTTGGTCAGAAAAGAAATATAGTATGAAATCAATTAACAGGGCTAGCGATACTAGGATATAATCATTCAAATAACAGATCTGTTATTTTCTAGGTAACCCAGTACAGACCCTCACTATTTAGCTCCTGAACATTTGCAGAGCTATGGTCCACAGGCCATACTCTATCCTCAGCTACAGAGAAATGCTAAATAATTTAATGCAGAAACATTTGAAACAATTTGATGGATCCTTATTGAAGTCTATGTAAATATATATGAAAAAATACATGTCTAGGTCCCCAGGAAACTGAGGGAGGGAGATGACAACATTTGACCAATGTTATATGATATGTCTAAAATATTTAAATAGGAAATTTGTAAGTCAGTGTTGTGGAGTTAAAAGATGGGGTAGTGGGAAAGAGATGAGTTATTTAGTGTGTCCCTCCTTTTGGCATTAGGAAAAAGCGTATTTTCTCCGAGTCTGCTGTCTTTCTGCCTGGTGGTTGCAGCTGCAGGCCTGGCTTGGAGAACTGGATGGGAGCTGGATTTCAGCTTCTACACCTAACTCTTGCCAGAGGCCTCTGTGCAGTACACTGTCCAGCGGTATGGGGTAGCTGTGAGAGGAGCTAGTGCTTTACTCATGTCTTCACCAAATGGAAAAGATAGAGAAGGACTTTCTAGGTGGAGGGAACAGCATGAGGAAATGGCCAGATGATGTGGAAATACAAGGTGTTCTTGGGGCAGGATATAATACTTGGAATATTGCTTGTTTTCCTGAATTGGCTTCAAACCAGGTTGAGAAGGTTGGAGGTAGATTGTGAATGACTTTGGAGACCACAGCACAGAATAGTAGCTTCCTACTACATATATCTGAAGGTGGTCTTGTGCCAATCCCCAGAATGTGTGACTATGTTAAATGGAAAGGGGTTCATTAAGACTGCTGACCAGTGGACCTTAAAGTGGGGTGATTATCCAGGTGAGAGCCTGGTGTTATCACCAGTGCCCACAACAGAGGGCAGCAGAAAAGTCATAGTCATGTGTTGTGAGAGTCTTGACTTCTGTGAGTTCCTTCAAAAATGGAAGGGTTGGCTAGGTCTGGTAGTGTAGTCTAGTTCCAGCTACTCTGAAAGCTGAGGCAGGATGATGGCTTGATCTCAGAAGTTTAAAGCTAGCTGCAAAATATAGTTAAGACCCTGGATTAAGAATGAAAGGCTGGGGGACAGCCTTTAATGCTGGAAAAGGCAGGGAAATGGACTCTTGTAGAGCCACAGTAATAGGTTTTGGCTGGTTGAAGAAGACCTGGTAGCCACTTAACTGACTGGGGGCCAGGGCAGCAAACCTATGGCATGTGTGCCACAGCAAGCTGTTTGTTACCATTGAACGCCCTAAAAGGTTCGCCATCACTGGATTAGGTTATAAACTGAGTTAAGTGAACTGCAACTAATTGACTGTTTGAATAAGTTGTAGCCTGCTTGCTTCTGTTTTCCTGTAAAAACTGTCTAGTGGTGTTCATTAGAGTTCTCAGAGTTGGTTTGGAAGTTGCCTCAACCGTGATTTTTTTTTGCCATATTCAAAGAAACTATCAAATTTAATGGTCTAAGGAATTTTCTGTGAGGGATCATTCTAAAACTCCCCAGTTGATTGCTGAAACTGAATAGTACAAATCCTAAAAATACTGTTTTCACACACACACACACACACACACACACACACACAGTATATATATAT